TTATTACACGAAGGCTTGCACAAAAACTGAGTTGAGTTGAACGAATAAACGAATCGAGAACAATAATTACAACACAATAGCCACTTTAATTTAATTCACCTCTATTCAAGGTAAATTTAGAACAGTTACAATACTCATTATTTAGGACAATTTTAATTGACTGAAAATATCTCGATTGAATGAAAATATGTTAATAACAAATATCAAATAGACTGCATGAATCATAAATAGACTTTATCAAAGAAAATTTTATTCACAAAATTGGAAGGGAAAATACATGTAAAATATCATAGTCAGTAACTAAAACTATAGATTGAATAATATGTATATAAAATCCTCGTTAAAAGAGTAACAATAGAAAAAACGAGGAAGCATGAAGCAAAGGTATTTCAGCTTTTTCTCATTAAAACTTTCTTAATCAATTCTATAGTTACAGATACAAGTAAAAAATATTTATACAAATGTAGGTTATTTGGAAAATTATGAAAAAAATATAGCAAAAATTATGAATAGAAAATAATTCTGCAATAAAAAATAAGCCGGAAAAAAAGAATAAATTTTTTTCGTTTGGGGCTTCACTTTTGAGAAAATTGAGATTTTAAACTCTTTGGGTATGCGCGCGCTGTACTACAAGTATGCGAATGCATTTAATATGGCTGCCAACGCAGTCCCAATGGCCATAACTTCAAGCTCAATTATCTTCGAAACAAGGTCTTAAATGAAAAATATGTATTCTACATTTTTTACTTATTTTTGCCTGTAGAATCTCGTTATACTCGTATATATCTATTATTCTATATATTTATTCTAAGATACTTCCAAAAAATTAATATTTCATTGTTCAATTTCATTTTTATTAATTAATTTTCCAATTTTTATTAATTATGCCTCTATAAATGAAGGATATATTTATCAGTATTTTAATTAATAAATTAATTATATCTTTTATTAACGAATTTTTCATATTGAAATTTCTTTTAACAGTGATTCATGCTACTTACATGTATATAACTTATTCTTCATTCATTTATTCCCGCACAACGTACCGGGAAAGTTTGTTCGGGAAAAATTGGCGCACCCTGTGCAAAGTCGACAAAATAAATAGACAGTAAAAATAAAAATATCGGCATCCATTGTGTAACGAATGGAAGAAACGAAAACATAGAACTGAATGAACGAATGAATGGCGAGCGACAATTAGAGCACAGTAGACGCTTTAATTTCGCCGAATGGTTTATGAACCGACCGACTTAATTCCATTTAGAATCGCCGTGCGTTTAGCATCGCGTTCTACGATTGTGTAACAACTTGTTGCGAAACTCTCGTTTTCCCACGGCACGTATTTAATTTACAGGGTATAATATGGTGCAGAGGCACTAGGATACTGTAATTAAAACTGCGCCGAGCATTTGGAAATGCGTATGACCGTGGTATTATAAAAATGAAAGAATAGTCTGAATCTGGAATAAGTGAAACTGATTTCTGCCTTTATGAAAAGAAATGACAAATTTTGAGAGGATTATTTTTTTACCAAAAATGTAAGAATATAGAAAATATTATTCTTTTTCCTTTACTTATTTAATTTCTTTTTTGTGGTATAAGAAAATAATTTTTTTTTTAAATAATAAATAATAGCTTCTTTAAATAGTATAGGATAATTTAATAAGAATATTATTAATTATATATTATTATTTATAATAATCTCAATTTTAATAAGAAGGAAATATGATAAAAGTTATATAAAATTATTAAAATAATTTCTGAAATTCTAAATTTTCACTATAGTCCTGTGCTTATTTGAAATTATGAACTACAATGTTAATGTCATCAGAAGCCAATTATATATTAACATGTATTTTTGCTATGTACATATATAACTATCATAACTGTATTTTATATAAATTATTATGAAAATCTTTTCTCAAATTTTTCAATTTTCAATTTACTTTCTAAGTAAACGCCATGTATATTTGGTAAAAGTAACAGTGAATGTGTCAATTTTAATACATATTTTAATTATTATTAAAGTTAGTCTGTTAGTTTAATGCATCGATTATTGTCGTAGTTATCAATTATTGTGTGTCAAATTGTCGCAGTACTAAAATGATAATTTGGGTAAAATTCGTCTGCAGTAGCCACCATAAAACAACCATACAAGCCTTCTCAGGTTTGATACGATTCGCATGACCCATCATTATAGTCGAAGCAGGTCTACGTGCGGCAGATAATAATGAACGAAAGAACAGGAAAATAAAGGTGTACCGTTACAGCTCTAACAGCTGCCTTTAAGGATAAAATATACACGTGCACCGTGCATGTATATACCTAGTAAAGCCCCTGAACATATAGTACTAGACATTCCTAGAATATACATATACAAGAAATTACGTCAATTACAACTGAATCGATGAACTCAAACCCCACATAAAAAATAAACTCGTTAATAAACAAGGTTTCCTATGTATAGAGAAACTCTGAACTATCGCCTATGTATATAAGGAATAATTGGAAGTGAAGAAATTTTCATTAATTTTTAACCAATTCCCTCCACATACAAAGAAATCGTAGATATTCTAGAGAATTTTTGAATTATTCTTACAAAATAGAAGTTACTCGTGATATTGTTTACGCCTATATTCATATAAAAGTAATATAAAGTACAAAAATCCCTAGTAATTACTAAACAATCTTTGCCATTTATAAAGTAACCATAAATATTCTCAAGAAAGTTTTAATTTAATAATTTCCTCAAGAAAGAGACTTTGTATTGTATAATATGTTCTACGCCTATGTTTACTTAGCGATATATAGAATAAACAGATAACCAATAACAATCTGTATTACTCTCAAAGCAATTACGAACATTCTTAAAAAAGTTTGAACAATTTCCTCGAGTCAGAAACATAACACTTATGCTCACAGAGAGTGATTTGAAATAAAAAAATGTTCAAAAACGTCGAAACAATTTTCCTCGTACACACAGAGATCTTGGACATCCTGAAGAACGTTCGAACCATTTTTCCTACATATAGGTTGCCCGTATCGCCAATAATATTATCTACGCCACTGCTTATGGAGAATAATTTGAAATAAAAATAATGCACACCAGATCTTCGGAAATTTTTCTTACACACGGAACATCCAGAACATCCCTATGAACGTTTCAGCTATTTTCCAAGACACCGTGCACGACCGTTTCTACGCCTATGTTTATAGAGGGTTGTAATTCGAGACCGCCTCGAAGGGAGAGTGGGGTAAAAGTGGCTACCCTAGGTTATACCTGCGAAAATCTATTCAGTTCGGTACTCGTCTAGCGTTCAGGCAACACGACCACGATTCGCAGCAATCCAACGGGAACGTTGGTCCCGCGACATCATTTTGATTTTCGCGCGCGCGCGCGGCGGCCATTCACGCGTTGCTCAGTTTGCCGATTTCGCGTCACGCCGTTCGAACGTTCCAATCGAAACGATTTAGTGCTCGCGCTGTGAAAGATGGATCGATCTCCATACAATTCTACTGGATTTATCGCACGGTTGATACAGAGTGTGCCGAGACTGAAGACGTTCTCGAAAGCCTGCGGAAGTGTATAGAGGCGTCTGATTCAGGTACAAGGGATTAAATGTTCGCCTACTACGGGGATAAAACGAGTGCAGCGAATTAATGTCTGTAACCTGTAACGTGGGGCTAAATATATATTCATACATACCAATTAGATTATGATCGAAGCAGTATGATGGAAATAAATATACGTATATCTACAGGGTGATCCGAGCACCTTGACTTGCACACCTCTGTAACTTCGAAAGTATGCATTACACGAAAAAGTTTTGTATACAAACATTGCATCGTTTGATGGGGTATATTGTATAGTGTGTTTATTTTTTTTATAGATGGAAGCGTTTCGGAGATTTGAAGGTCAACTTTAGCGTTTTAAATGGAATAGCACCAAACCTAATGACTAACGAGTAATTTCACTTTATTTTTTGAAAAAGTTATGATAAAAAAATAACATATTGTAATGTAAGCATTGTCAGGTAATCTCGCTGTTCTGCGAAAATCTATAAGATTGAATCTCTAATTTGATATTACGTGAAGAAAATTTCCAAGAAATAAAGTGAGATTAGGTTTGAGACTAATGGAGGTCAATACTTTTTTTTACTCAAAATTCGACCTATGTAATAAAAATTGAATTTTATGGATAAAGTTGGAAAGAACATACAAAGGTCAAGTTTGTTTTTTATAATAAATCCCTATAAAAATTAAGTATTCATGTTTTTCAATGGAACCTAAATATTTATAGAAATAGTGAAAACAAAAATCTTGACAATTTTGGCAGTTCTAGACACGAATGTTCTTTAAATTCAGAACTAAATACACACAAATTTTTAGAAAATTGAAATCTCATTCATACATGGTATAATATATAAATTAGGAAAAATATAACTGTGGTGGTAATTACTTTGTAAGTGCATAAACAAATCAAACAGAACATATATTTATATAAATTAATTTCCACAGTTTTCAGATACTGAGTCAATCTCTGAGATAGGTCCCACATACTGCATCAAACAGCTTATATAAAATCTATGTCAATCCATAATGAATCCCCTCCATTATTTTCCACAATTTGTCCAATGAAATTCGGTACAATTGGATGAAAATTTAGTATGATCATCACGATGAATTTGAAATGCACAAGGGAAACAATGCAGGCTTACAGACTGTCGTGATGCTAATAGTATGGTATTTACATTTAGGAGAGCTAACGTTAATCCACCTTTGAAATTGTAATCCCTAATTTCTTCTCCATAGGTGTCCCTGGCTAAAGACCTCCTCTCACGAGACTCCTATCTATTTAAATCACCCTGTAAAGGATTACAGGAGCCAACGCTGAAACTTTCTCTCATATATCCTAACTTGAATATACATTCTTGAATATATTTATATTGTAACATTATTCACGATTACTTTATCGTTCAAACGTCGATTTGTCGTTTTAGGATGGATGTACCACGTGGTTGATTGCACGGTGCTAGGTATAACGAGACAGCAGAAGCAAACAATCGCCATCCACTGTCTGCAAAAGTCGATCGACGCGGAACCGAAGAGCGGGCAAAGCCTTTACCTGCTAGGACGTTGCCTCGCAGCTTCTGGAAAAGTTCATGATGCATTTATTGCTTACAGGTAACGTGTCTTCGTTCTTAAGACGCGTGAAGAGCGTTAATCTCGAAATTATTGCGCAGATATATCAGCCTAACGCTTAAGCCTCTTAGCCTCTTAAGGCAAGACTGACTAATTCCCCTGTTTGTTAGCTTCTTCATTTTGCAACGCTTAAGTTAGATCATGTTTAACGCACGATGTGTATAGTGACTCTTGAAAAATCGTTCTTCTTGCATGATTTCTTGAGAGGAAGCCTGGATGGTCTACCGTTGTTGGATTTAGCAACTCTGTTGCGGATTTCTCTGAAGAAACGCGAAGGACTTCGAAACTGTTATTTACACCTGAAACAAATTATGCAATTAATTCATAGAGGAAAATGGAATTTTTTAAGTTAGAAATTAAATTTCAAACAATTTGTTTTAAATTAATTAGTCAGTCATTATAGTGGCCTATGTATGGTGTTGTAATTTATCTTCCACCTTCTGCGAAGATTAAACGAATCAAAGTCACTGATAAATGATGGTTGATTGCAGAAATTCCGTGGAAAAGTCAGAAGGAAACGCAGACACGTGGTGCAGTATAGGCGTCCTATATCAGCAACAAAATCAGCCTATGGACGCGCTACAAGCCTATATATGCGCTGTACAGTTAGACAAATCACATTCGGCTGCGTGGACTAATCTGGGCATTTTGTACGAAAGCGTTAGTCAGCCGAAAGACGCTCTAGCTTGTTACGTCAACGCATCCAGGTAAAGTAGCAATAGTCAGTTCCAGTGCTCAGGCACTTGATATTGGCTGTTAGGTGTAGAACAGAATTCTGTAATCGTTATAAACAAAACGTAATGGAATTTCTAAGAACGTGGAATAATTTTTATTATTCAGATACTCTCCATTGGTATTCATGACTTTTAGTTAAAATCTGCTTTTCACTGTCTCTAATATCATCTTTTAGATATATTGGTATATATTACAATATTAACACTAGTAACCAAAAGTTAAAAGGCTAAAAAATGAATTTAGTAACCTCGCTATAATTTCTATTAAGCTAAGATACGAGAAAAGATATCGTTTACCAACTCAGATTGTAAACAATAATAAATGACACGTCATTTGTAAAACTAAATGTCTACGTTGTAAGTGCGTGAAAAAACCATAAGATGTTTCGATCTGAAGGATCTGAATCTTGTAAACCATAAAATTTAAAGGAATTATTAGCAGAATTTTCTTCTTCACCTAATACGTATATTAGTATAAGTTGTAAACCAGAAACGATGCTGTGCGTAGTGCAGCATTTTGTAAAAATTTGAAAACACTCTACTCTCGTTTCGACTACGAATGTTTCTTTCGAATCATCGAATTTTGAGACCTCTGTTTAACCCTTTCGCTACGACCGCTTCTGTCAACGAGCAGTCCCTTGATACGACTGTACAGTATGCGTACATTTGCGCCAATAGATTTGTCAACTCACATCGGCTGGCTCAGAAATTTCGTGCGATTGAAACAGGTGTTACTATACGTTCGATAATCTTCTTCAGCGAGTGATACAAGCGAATATTTTCATAAAAATTTTCTGTTTTTTTCTTTGACAAAAATATCGTGTTTGTAAATGATTTCTTTTTTGTTAACGCTAGAATCTTGGAAATTTTAACCTACTTCCGCTGGTAGTTATTTTAATCGAGTCATCGTTTATATATTTAAATATATTGTGGATATATAAAGAATAATTAATCATTCTATACATATACCTCAAAAATTAATTTAAATAATTAAAGTAAAAATATAAAATTTTTAATAACTTTTACATTAAAAAATTGATGTAAAATTACAAATGTTTTTAAATTCTTGTGAGGACAATTTATCATAATTAAATCTGTAAATAAGGTTTCTTGAAATTATATTTTTTCACAGTTCACATCCATTAGGTATGAAATTTTATATACATATATTAACAAAAGTATCAAAATAACGAGAAAAATATGTACAGTCAAACTGACCATATCCAAGATTCTAGCGTTGAATAACTTTTTAATGGACAGAAATAATTCATAATCCATGAAAAATATAAAGAATGTGGAAAGATAAAGATAAAGTTCTGCTGTCGTATTATCTTAGCTGAATTATGAGGTCCACCTTCTTTCTCCAATTTTATACACTTTTCCTATTTTACATAGATAGGTGTGAATTCCTTCTTTGTTAGCGAGTATTTTAGTTGCTTCTGGATCTTTATGGGTAGTTATTAGTTTCACATCTAAATCATGTTATTTGTGAATACAAATTTTAACCAGCATATTTTCTGATAACAGCAATTTATAGTTTATTTTATTGCAATTAAAAATAGTCATATAATTACTAATATTACAGTTTATTGTAAAAGTCTAATAAACTCATTTATGTTGAAAGCACAAACTAAACTTTCTTCTATTATATTATTTCATTTATGACCTTTGTCAAAAACAAAAATCTAACTTTTAATCAATACAAATCGAAAATGACCTTAAAATTTCAAAAAATACTAATGATAGGAATAAATCGAATGGCACACTGATCAGCATTCTTCAAACCATACAACACTCACTCGAATTAATTTTTCTCAGATATTATTACTTATCGAATTATCGCAATAGTTTCAGTTACGTACCTCGTTCTTTAATGATGCACGATATCCTGCAATCTGATTTGACAATTCAGCAGCATTCTACGCAAAAAAAAATAAATTGAAAACATAAAATACACTTTTTCCATACAAGGCTTTGTTTCCACAAAAAATTGAGATTGAATATTCGACGGTTTGCGTTACTCTTAGCATTCATATCGACCATAGATGCACATGCGCCACGCAAATATTTCAAATCAGTTACTTGAAAACGAAGCCTTGTGTGAAAAAATGTTATTCTATGTTTTTAACTTACTTTTTCATGTAATATCGACCTATTCCTCTTTGATTTTACCAGTAATTGCAGGACACAATTGTATAATATGTAACTACGCAGTTAGATTGCAATCATTAGATATAATTAACAAGTTATCAAAACACAACTTGATGACAATCAATAAATATTCAGGGTAAGTTATTTTCAATAATTATACCTTAATTCGTACGAATTTAAAAATTCCTGAAGCTTAATAGCGGGTAGTCACTCCTGGCAGCGAAAGGGTTAAATATTCGACGATTCCCTTCACTTTGTAACTTCATTATATATCGTCATTGTATCTCCGATGTACGCTTCCTTAGTTCAAATAAAACAGACATTCATTTCCACTGACCACCGGCGTCATCGATCTCCTTCATTTTAGCATGGTATCATCACCTCCATCTGGTGAAAAGAAATATACATCTTCCGTTTGATCATTCGAAACTATTCAAAATTGAACCTATGACCTCTGGTCTCTCTACAACCTTCTTACTGTACTTATGTATTCATTGTGTACCTCTCACATAGTTTGCTGCATCGTAAGCGCCCTGCTGAATGACGTATCAAACATACATATTTCAAGAAAAATAAGTAAGTCGAGGACAGGTCAGCATTCAAAAAAAAAAAAACAAGAAAAAGAAAACACAAGGAAATAAAATAAAACAAGGGAAAAAAAAAAACAAGGAAGAAGAAAACGAAATGAAAGCTTACCTGTCCATAGAAGTGAAACGCAGTATAATAAAATAGCAATTATGTTTTCCGTAGGGGCAATAACAACACACCAAATTGCACGGGCTCACTGGCGGGCCTGGGTGGCGCTAAATCCGGCGGTAACACCCCGATGAACCCATCGCTACAACAGCGGATCAACTTCCTGCAAAGTCACCTAAGCCAAGCACCAATGCCTTCCGTCACCACGAAGTAAGTTGGGTCTACTAGGGCCAGTCAGTAAGTTGATCCCGGTCTCTGAGAGATACAGGATTTTTCAAACATCTCCTTTATTCCCAATGTGTACTTATACTCACCCAAACCCAACTGCTAATAATGTAAAACTGACTTACAAATTCCTATGAACAGTACTGTAAACGTTTTAATGTTTCACAATGAAGAAAAGTGTGGATTTGACTAAATTAGAATTATGACTTCAGTAACTTCTTGAGTGATATTCATCAATAATCCCCCAATACTCGTCTTCAAATGCCTTGAATGATTTAGTCATTGAGACAATTTGTTCTGAACACTAGATGGTAGCACACATCTCAGAGTTGGATGCATTAACACTTATTAAGATGGGATGATTAATGTTCTTCACTAAGATGAATTCTTATACAATATTACATCTCAATTATTCTTGTATTAGGTTGTATTATCATACTTTTATCATAATAATGTTTCTACTGAATCTATCTGTTGAATTTGTCTGTTTTATCTAGACACCTTGCTCTACATAACTTGGAATAACCAAAACACACTCTTCTAGTTACTGAAAGAAGCAAATAGAAGAAATCTGATATATAAGAACATAACATACCTATAACATGAAAGACTTTCTAAAAGTTTTCAATTTTTTTACATAGATTATATTAACTGATGTTTTTTTACAAGCTGTTAGTATCTTATGTTTTTATATGTCAGTTTTTTCCTATTTGCATCCTTCAGTAATTAGAGTAATAAAATTACATAAAACTTAAAAGTTTAATAGAAATATTATTATAACAAAGATATAATAATAAAAACTAACACAATAATAAAAAGCATACCATAAAGTTCTCCCTGTAAAGAGTGTGTTTATTATCACATATTAATGTGCTAAAGGATATCAAAATCATGGACACTATAAGATTATCAAAATATATTGAATAACAAAAATAACAAAATTAAATCTTGTTATTAACAGGTCCTTTCTCTCTGAAACGTCAGAAAATACTGCATGGAGTTCTAAAAATGCATTTCTCTGTGCTCGATATTAATTGATGTCAGAAGGAGACGAATTTTAACTGGGAATTTTGTTTGGTTTGGATCCAAGAATGAGACCATCACAGATGAATATTGTAATAAATGTATCACTTGGAACAAATAAATGATTAGGAAAGTAGTATTTAATAAGTATACATGTACACTATTGTAATACTACTCTTTATGTATTTTTATAACTTCTTAAAAGTAAAATTGCATTAAATGCACACTATTTCTTTCGTTATTGACATTTAATCCACTTCTGAATATTTCTAAAAACTTAATTCCTCATTTTTAAAAGTAAACCTACCTGTATCTCTGATACAACTCATTTTCATTCACATTTATAACTTCTAGCAAATTTAAACAAGAGTAAGTAAGTGGCGCTAGTAGCGTCATTGTAATCCATTACCGGTATTATCTAGTTCCGCGTTAAAAATACAAATTTTAATAGAAATCTTTGAACACCAAAAGATCATTAATTTGAAAAAAGAAGTTACAGTCATAATTTACGACAATCCATCATTTCTTACAGTTTTGATCTCAATCAACATAAAAACATTTAGAGTTCTCCTTCGTGTGAACGTATTGCAGATAAAAGACAATTTTGTTTTGCCCACGCGAGTTAATCACAGAAAAATAAGAGGAAAAAAACAGAGAACACGAAACATTTTTTTGCGCCGTACTGCCGTAAAAGGTTCATTCACATCATCAAATGATTGTCAAAAGAAATATACGTGTTTGCGTTGGTCTCATTAACGTGTAACGTTTCTGTTTACATCAAGGAGGCGGCAACTGCCGTCTATAGAAGAGGCTTGGAACTTGCCTATTAGTGCTGAGATGTCTAGCAGACAACAACAGCAACAACAACAACCACCCACTGGTCCGGGTTACAAGTACGGCACTACTCCATCTGGCCCACCACCTCCTTATCCTCAAGGACAGGGGCAAAATCTTAATACGAAAAGATTTAAGGTACATTAAAGTTTTTTGTTTCCATAATTGGAGGGCTCAGAGAAAAAGTGGTGCAATTAAAAAAGAGCTTTAAATTCAGCACAGTTTTGGATAAAGTTAAAATTTAATAAAAAAATTTGTATACCTTCAAATATTGAAATATATTACATATTACTATATATTATTGAAATATATTAAAATATATTGAAACACTAACACGTTCCTGTAGATAAATGCAGATCTTATGTGTCGTTTTTCTTGAAAAATATATATATTTGTATAACTTCTTAACTGAGCCCTATAATAAATTATTGATAAAAATATTGCATAATATATTTCTGTATTTAACTGACGAAATAAATGATATTTTTAGTCGGGAGAAGAATCGATCTCTCCAAGTTCACAACAAAGACCACCGCCATTTTATCTCACACCTCAGCAGCTACAGATGTTACAATTTCTGCAGCAAAATCACGGAAGTTTGACGACGCAACAGCAAGGTCTGCTTGCTCAGTTACAACAACAATACAGATGCATGCAGCAACATCAACAGCAAATTAGATTACAGCAGCAGCAAGCTGCTCAGAGGGGGTTAAGGCCGGGACAACCTGGTTATCCCACGGGGTACAACCATGCGCAACTAGGACAACCTGGCGTGATTAAAAACTATGGAATACCTCAGCAACCGGTATCTTACTTTCTAGTCTATCATATTCTTTCTTTTTTTCTGTTTTATTAGAGTTCTTTTCAACATTAATAGATCTTTAATAATAATTAATAGTCTAATAATGAGACATGCTGGACATATAATGCTTAAGAAGTTAAAGCTTAAATAATGAGATTTTTTTATGTTTATTCTTGTTAAACAAAAAGGACATTTATTATGAAATTAATTTGCAATTTTTAATCAAATAAAATATTTTAAATAATTACTTTTTGCAACAGTCGCAACAAGGTGGGACGGTTGCACTCCAAACAGGATTCTCAGACTCCAATGTCGGTTATAACACCGCAGCAACTGGGAACAGCCAGACGCCAGGAATGCCTTACAAATCTGCCTCTGACCCAAACTATCCCCAGAGGCAATTAACATCTAACCAATACAACCAGTATCAGCCTAATCAATACACTGCCCAGGGTTACACTCAAATATCGTCAACGACGAGCAACTACCCAGAAGGTTCCGCGGGAAATAAAGACCTGGGAGTAACAGATCAAGAGTTACAAGCTCTATTATCGCAAAAAGATATCGCGACTTCATTGGCGGAGGATTTGTTGAAGCATTTTGGCTCAGAAGATTTAGACGTGAAAGAAGAAACACCAAGTATCATGAACAACGGCACTTTAAGTTCAGGCCCGTTTTCACCGTCAAACTTGGAGGAGAGTACGGAGAAGATCAAAGAAGTGAAATTAGAGAAGGTAGAGGATACCCAACCGTCGTCCACGTCGAAATTCGAAGCATACGAGAAAAGCAATACAAAAACAACTCCGGTAGTCGAGACGGTAAAATGCGAAGCGACGTCAAGTACAAATAAAATTGATTCGGTCGCTCGGATCGAACCAGTGCTCAAATTGGAAAGTTTGTGCGAATCGCAACCCGAGCAAGAACTTAACATAGAGATGGATTCCAAGACTATTATTGAGGCGTGCAAAGGTCAGGGATTGAAAGGAGTACCGAATTGCTCCATACTGAGCGATCGTTCACCTCCACCTGCGCCGCCTGATCCTCCAAGTCAGAGGCTAACCAAGGAACAACTTCTACCCCCAACTCCTAGCGTTTATTTAGAAAATAAGAAAGACGCATTCAGTCCACAACTCCAAGAGTTCTGCCTTAAACATCCGATAGCTGTGATTCGTGGTCTGGCAGCCGCTTTGAAATTGGATCTTGGACTGTTTTCGACGAAGACCTTAGTAGAGGCAAATCCAGACCACGGTATCGAGGTAAGGACACAAATGCAGCAAACCAGTGATGAGAATTGGGATCCTGTAATGGGTAGAAAAGTTTGGGGCTGTATTAGTCATAGAAGTCACACGACTATTGCAAAATATGCACAATACCAAGCCTCAAGTTTTCAAGAAAGTTTGAAAGAAGAAAGAGAAAAGGCGCAAGGTATACATACGTCGAATTTATCTGATTCGGATTCAAAAGACAGCACTGGTGCTGTTAGAAGGAAGAAAAACGCTTTTGGATTGGCGGGTCGACCGGGCTCAAAAATGTTGCGATTTGGGACCAATGTAGACTTATCAGACGAAAGAAAGTGGAAACCACAACTTCAGGAGCTGATGAAATTACCAGCGTTCGCCAGAGTTGTGTCAGCTGGAAATATGCTCAGTCATGTTGGTCACGTTATTTTAGGCATGAATACTGTTCAATTGTACATGAAGGTATGTTTAATATTTATTTACTTTTGTTTATAATAATTACTTAAAGTATACGTACAATATAAAAAATTAATTTAAAAAATACATTCTGAAATTATGAAATAATATTTCAAATTGAAAGATAATATTAACAATAAAGTTTCCAAATTCATTTCTCATATTCTTGTTTAATACTTTTGAGATGTAGTACTCTGAATATATAGTACTCTTTAAATTAATAACGATTCTTTGAAAATTATAACATTTCCTTAAAAAATTTATTTATTTATATTTGTAGGTACCTGGTAGTAGAACACCTGGTCACCAAGAAAACAACAATTTTTGTTCTATCAATATCAATATTGGACCAGGAGATTGCGAATGGTTTGCAGTGCCTGATGCATATTGGGGTGTAATTTGCTCTCTTTGTGAGCGGAATAATATCAATTACCTCCATGGTAGTTGGTGGCCTTCTTTAGAGGATCTGTATGAGGAAAACATTCCCGTGTATAGGTTTTTACAAAGACCAGGTGATCTTGTCTGGGTTAATGCAGGTAAGCAAATTGTGATTAATTATTTATCCTATTCTGCCATCATTAGTTAAATATATTATTTATTAAACCGTGATTAAAAAAAGAAACAGTATAAATAAGAGTTATTTACTTTTCAATATTTAATCCTCATTATCCTATGGATATTTCTGTACCAAAATTAAACCAATACATTAAAATTACAGAAAAATAAATTAATTTACTCAAAGGAAAATAAACAAGATAGAAATGTTTTAATTAAAACGTATTCAAAGAAACAAAATTTTATTGTTACTTTAGGCTGTGTACACTGGGTTCAAGCCGTTGGATGGTGTAATAATATCGCATGGAACGTAGGCCCTTTGACCGCCCGACAATATCAACTGGCAATCGAACGTTATGAGTGGAATAAACTACAGTCATTCAAATCTATAGTACCAATGGTACACTTATCCTGGAACTTAGCAAGAAATATCAAAGTGTCAGACCCCAGATTATTTGAACTAATTAAAAATTGCCTATTAAGGACAATGAGACAGTGTTGCTTAATATTAGAGTTTGTGAAAAGTAAAGGTGTAGAAGTTCGATTTCATGGACGAGGAAAGAACGAAGCATCGCATTACTGCGGCCAATGCGAGGTAAGTTAGTTTTAGATAAATAGTTTAGATTCTAGAGTAATTTGCTACTTCTTATGCATTTATAAAATTCAAAATATTTAAATTTATAAAATAATGAATAACATGAAAAATGAAAATCTGAAATAATTATTAATAGTTACTAAAATATATATAATCATAAAAAAATATAGTCATAAAAGATTATATTCATATAAATACATGACATGATCAAATATTTATCTTACTAATCAATTTCATGAAATTTTTTATATTATATTTTATCTAAAATAGAAATGAACATTATGTAATTAATTTAGTTATCGAAATAAACAAATTTAATAAGTTTATTAATAATTAAAATTATAAATGTTAATTTTTTTCAGATTGAAGTGTTTAATATCTTGTTCATAAGGGAACAAGAAAAACGACATGTTGTACACTGTATGGATTGTGCACGAAAACAATCCCCATCCTTGGAAGGATTTGTTTGCCTAGAAGAGTATAGAATGCGCGATTTAATGGATGTTTATGATGGATTTACTTTACACACTTCTCTAACAACTCCCTCATCAGCTCAGTCTAGCCAATCCTCCTGAGAGTACATGCAACACAGATATTTGGACTTCTTAGGCACTTTACAGTGACTTTGATAGTAAAATATTTGTGTTTGAACAGAATCTTTACAATAAGCATTATTTAAGTACCTGAGAGCTACTATAAAAAAAAATAAAAAAAACAAAAAAATGAGAAAGATCAGAGCATTTTATATCTCTTGAACTATGTAAATCAAGCATCTGTTTCCATACTAATTTTAGGATACGCACAATATCTGTTATATATAAAACATTTGAAAATATTGAATATTCTGAAAATTAGTTAGCACTATTGACACAAACTGAAACTTATATGTGAACAATTTTGTACTGAATTGATATAAAATTTGCAAAATATTCTTTTAGCTCTCGGGTATAAAATATCGAAGCTAAGTAAACGAGAGAAGACTGCGTTTTACTTATAAATTACTCGATACTACCATTTGTAATCCTTTGATGACATCGCTATGCAAAAGCTTTATAATAAGACATGCTGGACATAGTTATTAAATTTGACGGTATATCTGATTAACTTTATGTTTCGGCGTGTGGCTGCAGAACAACAAATTCGTTTTCCTTATCATTCTGTTCATAAATTGCATGTTTTGAAATTCTAATGAACAACAAATTGCCAAAAAAATGTCATACATATAAAAACATCATGAAAATGTTCACTGCCAATCGTGAATATATTAAAGGATTACACTTAGTCTAAAGTGATGAGGGATAAATTGTCGTTAACTATTGTTATGAATTAAGGTACGATTGTAAAGTATTGCGAAGCTGCTCAAAACATACTTGTACATTTTTGTATACAAGCGAATTGAAACGATTATTGATTTTTATGAAATTCACGATAATATTAGTACAGTTCCGAATGTCCTATTGCCAATAATAATCCAATTCTAAATCTAGCAATAATTGTGTTTTCATATCAATTTTGAAGTGAGATCATTATTGAATAATTATACGAGAATATAATTGACGATTGAGAACATAATTATTGAGCTTTTTTACAAATTCATATGATTTAACTAAAAAAAGTGCAAGCAGTACCGTGACATTCGCAACAAATATCGTGCTTCAAATAAATCAATTATTGTATCATAGTGGCTCTAAAATATTTGTACAGTAAAAGATATGATTTATAATAACAATTTCTAAGACATACCGACCTCTGCGTTTAGAACGAAAAGACGATAACGTGCTGAGAATAGCTTATGAAACGGCGTTTCTCAATTTATAATTCTGTATTTATTTTTATAAACTGAACAAAAAGAGAAACGCATGTACATCTAAGGTTAAAGATTGAAAACCACGTACTAAATAATTTAAATCTGTTTGTCAGTAATGAAGTGATAAAACAAGAATATTTATTAATTAGTGAATGAATTTATTTGAATTGATTTTTAATCATATGAAATGAGTTACTGTTTTATACAATTTATTCAATACATAAAGACTAAAATAATATGAACTAATGTCTTATTTAAAATATTATTTAATTTAATAGAATTATAGAATCTTAGTACAAAGTTAGTAAAATTTTAATCAATTTAAGGACACTAGAAGAAAATTGGGAAACGCTGATATATGTCTAACAGTGAGTAATCGTATCTTAAAGCAAAGAAGAAACGTACCTTCACCTCAGTCTCGTCAATTCACATTGGTGTTTAAAAACGCCAAATGTACGTGCCAGAAAACAAAAAATCTTACCTACGACAAGTATATAAATAATACAATTCTCGTTCCGCCGAAAAAATATTTTCACAAACGCGTGAGAGAGAGGGAGAGAAAGAGAGAGAAAATGAAAAAAAGCATAAAATGGTAGATAGTACGTACAGGTCGTAATAAGATCATCGCAGAACGATGTATTTTTTAAAACCCTAGGAAATGCTAGTTCCGCCGAGTTAGTTAATGACGAACGACAACCGCATTTCTTTTATATGCGCAACAAATTTCAACGTTGTGCAATTCAGCGATAATATATGTGTACATATATATATATATATACACATGTATATATACATATACATATATTTTCACATCATATACAGCAATGGCCGAGTATAATACTAATTTTCGAACATGTTAGCCTCGCCATTTATGATTATTAACGACGATCATACGGGTTCACAAGCTCGTGTCCAAGAGTATTTTAATCCATGCACTCAAATGATCTCAATGCATGTAATATTGGCAGTCTGAAATGGCGATGAATTCTGCCAATATTTCGAACTGACTTGACAACTTTGATTAACAATTAATAAATTATGTATAAATATATTTAATGTAAAAAATAAGATTAGATAACTTGAAATGAATCGAAACAGAACGGCTCAAGAGCTTTGATAGTTAATAACGAACAAACTGAAAGCAGCACTTCGTGTATTGCTAAGCCTGTTTTGCTGTGACCTATAATTCATTTGCATTTATTCGGAGTCGAAATCGAGAATATGATTTTTCCGATCACTTGCAAACTTTTTTCTTTATAAAGATTATGTAACTTTATCTCATTTGTATGTTGGTAATGAACATTAATTGATAACATTTAACTGTATTGTTATTTCTGTGATCTTTAACATTATTAGAAATAATTTTTGCAAGATACATATTATAGTAATCATTGTAATATGAGATAAAAATCATAATTAGATATCTTTGTATTTATTAACAATATCTATTAAAATTCCATTATTCAACGATGGTTTCATTAAAAAAGGGTTCACAGCATTAGCGGCTCAAGTTTGTTTGCAGTTATTTTAATTATTTTAGAAAGTTTTAGATATTTCAAATAGCAGAAAATTCATTTATAGGTAAACCAGACATGTAACATGACTTAAAACAAGGCAACAGTGAAAAAATATACCTTTGTTAATAATTGCGCGTGTGTCTTGTTGCCTACAAATGGAATACCTGCAATTAAATAGAAAGTAATTTTATGAAATTCTAATGAAATAATTTGTAAATGGTCATTGGTAAAATCGTAAACTTATGGCTGAATATTTATAGATTTTGAAAAAAGTAAATGTCTTTGAATATAAAAAGCCACATATTTGAGTAAGAAATCTTTTTTTAGAATGAATTTTTTTTAATTGTTCTTTTAGCATATTTTATAGAAGTATGCTCTACAATTATGCAGGATGATGTAGAAGTCTAGTATATAACTTCGGACAATTGGCAGTATTATTATTAATAAAATTTTGTCATAAAATTGAAAACATTAATTAATTTAAATAAAAACCATTATCTTAAATATCACACGGAAAATAAAATAATAAATAATGTATTTATTTAAAAATTATATCAAGTTTTCTAAGTAATGTACTAGATTTTTCTAACAACCTGCTTAAATGTCATATCTTAAATTAGGGAAAAAAATATAAAGAAATTGAGAGATGACAAAATGTATTATTTGAAATAATAGACCAGTTAATGTAAGCTTTCAAATACCATTTGTGTTTTAGTTATAATTTAATTGGTTTTTAGAGAGTTTACATTTACTAGTCAATATATATATTCACATTCTAATATTTTCTCTTTTTTTTAATCAAATTTGAGTTGTGCATCACTATATCTGTTTAATGAATTGTGAATTTAATTAGAGAAGGAAAGCCAGAGAGAACTTGACTAGAAAAAACTCAAGCAGTAGCTGTATTAACTTATCATTTAATGAAATGTAAGTAACTGTAAATATTTGATTTTTTTTTTTATTAACTGGAGAAAGAGCAGCAGGAGAGCAGATTGTATAATAAGTACATATATTCATATAATAATTATTCAGTTGTTTATCCTGCATGTACGCAGATTTTTCAAAGTCTTGTATTTTGATACTGACATCTCAAGGGATAACGTGACATTGGTGATTTTTAGAAAATTATGCAATTTAGTATTGCGCACAAACGCCTAAAAAATTACCACAGAAGAAATCGAGAATTTCCCTCGAACCTACTTCCTTGAAAAATTTTTTAAGATCCAGAAAATGGCGCACATACGAAATTGTATATTTCGAAAGGAATATAAACTGAAAACAAACACACATAAAACATATTTTCGCTAGATAATGTACGAAAAGTTTAAGTTCTATACTTACCGAGTGACCGAAGTTAACAAACAGACAAAAAAAAAGATTTATTTTTTCTGAACAACTGACTATAGCGAAAAAAAGTATTTTCGAATTCGTCTGTAATGTCTGTAAAGTGAAACGTAGCAAACCATAGTAACAAAAAAAAAATGAAAGAAATGATGAAGATGATAATGATTCACGTAGCTTAAAACTTGAAAAACTGTATTTTAAACGTGAGAACGTTCACTGCCAAATTGTGATAAACAAATCCCACCTTTAAACTGGAGCGTTTTCTTAACTTCTGATCGCATTGACCAATTATTTCCTCTTAAATAGTTACCGTGAGTTCTGCACATTCTGATATAATAGTCATCTATATTTTTCCTTAATGTTTAAGATATATAGCGTCGAAGAGAATATAGCGTTGACCAATGCAGCTAGAATCGAAAGAAACCGCTCCCTATTTTAAGTGCGTAGCATTGTAACAATAAATGAAAAACAAACAAGAAAGAAAGAAAAAAGATCGTATTAATATTTTTAAACGGGCACGTTTTACTGTTTAAAAAGTACCATCTGGACCGCCTATAGCGCTCTTCTATATATGTATATTGTATGTTTACGTGTACAGTGCCTTTATACCTTAAAAAGAGACAAAATGAAAAAAAAAAGAATGGAAAAGAACTTTTTAAAAGAAAAAGAAGATACCTTTGCTTTCGAGAAATCAATGTAAACACGATTTCCCACGTTTTGATCACAGGTGGCGTGTAGTGTATCTGGAAACTATAAGTGGGAAACGTCCAGTCTGACATTAATTTCTCAAAAGGTTAAGACGGTGCGGTCCCTCCTACGTGTCGCAAACATTCTTCTAATTAGGTTCAGATTGTAATGATTACCTAATTATAATTAATGTAATTAGATTATTATTATGAAGTACGTTGTAAAAGTGTACAGTTGGATCGGGTGATCTCTTTAAGCGGAAGATCATGCTGTAGCTAGCCTTATTATTATCATTACGACTATTATTATCATGGATTATTATTACGGTTAATTAAAATATATTGTGTTTACCATAATAATGTAATATACAGTTACACAGAGTTTGACTGTGCTGTACATTATGATTATCAACACGAATGCTGCTGCCCTGCAATTATTATTAAATTGACTTTTCCCAAAATTTGTTTGCCGCACGATATTTTCATTCCCAATGACTTATAAAATTCGAAAATGAATAAACTTCAAGGATAGAGATGTGAAGATCCTTTATCATGCTCATTGAATAGATCATTAAATAGAGATTACAAAATTAATTGATTGTTTTAGTCTCTTTTAGTTATTAACTTATTTATTAACTATGTCAACAAAGTTATTGTTTTATAATTTACTTTATCTTTTTATATATTATTGCACATATTTTCATATTTATTATTATCTATTTTATATGACAAATTGGTATTTACAAATATTTGACTTTGATTATAGTAAACAGAGAACGAAAGTATAATGCCAACAGGGAAGATTGAAAACTAATCACTCATAATATTTCTATGCTGTCATATAAAATTATAAATCTAGTACTTAAATAGATTTGATTTTTTGTATCAGTTGATTTTATGGTCAAGTTTATTTTTTCTGTATCTATGCAGATATTGCATCAGAGTTTCAGTTCATTTCAAATTAGAACTACATTTATATGATTTTATTTGTATCTAAGAAAAATAAATTAATTGTCTGTGAGATGATCCATTTTAATCTAGGTATAAATAGATATATCATGAAAAGTACAATGAATTAGAAACACAGTAATTGTAGAAACATTTAAAAAAATAGTGAAGTTTATTAAAATTTTAATTATGAAAAGTCAATAAATCATAAGTTCAAGGATATTTCAAAGACACTGAATCATTCTATTGTTACAAGATTAAAAAAATATACTAGAACAGATTTATTGTGATTTAATTAGAAAATTACAAAATAAAATTATGAAGTTTAAATAAAGTGGAATATAAATGACTTTGAAGTGTCCTTGATACCTTTAATTACTGACTTCTCTCTTACTATTAATATTCTTCTCTTTAATATGTATATACTTAATTTAAAATACTTTTTGAAATATATCCATTTATAAAATAAAATGGGTCACAATATTTTACAATACTTTATAAATAATATACCATATCTTAACATTCATTATAAAGTATTCTTATATAATACAATATTGGGATGAAAATAGAAATTATACTTCTGTAGAAATGCTAGAAAAAAGAAGCAAACAGAAGAACTTAATAGTCACAAATTCAAAACGAAGTTAATTTACACTGGTGTAATGGTAAATATTACCAAGACACATTAGTTAACATATTATTCAATGTTCCAATTAAAATAAAATGTATTGGGTGCATTACCATCGGATAGTATGTTAACTAGAAGTGCTCATTGTTCTTAAAACTTTAATACTAAATGAGTCACTTAAAATGGATTATCTGATAACTCTTATATTTAGGAGAAGAAAAAAGAATATCTTAGATAGCAATTAATTAGACTTGAATAAAATAACGCGTTATATCTTTTTAAACAATTTTTGAAAAATGTTAAAAATATTCAATCTTGATTATATTACATTTAAAAAATGTTAACAACACGGAAAAAGAATGTTCGATTATAAAAATAGATAAAAGTAGATTTAGGTCAAATAAGTAAGTTGATATTATAATAGTTATAATTTTTATACAAGATAGATTTCATAAAAACATAACAAATAACTATTGTAAATATAATACTGAAATAATAATTATTACTGATACTAAAGTGACAAAGAAATATAAACATAAATCTTATGAAACTTTTGTTCTGCAAAAATTAAACTAATTCTAAAATATATTTTTTTGACATCAAAAATAAAAGAGTTATTGGAGTCATTTAAGTCTTACCTTACATGTTAACTGCTAATTTGACGAAGGTGAACCGTTTGTACATAACTAGGCACCAACGAACCAAAAAGAAAAACTAACATGAATATAATATTTATGTCCTTCTAAGTGCTCTCATTTGCTTACGACGTGCTTGAACAACACCATAAACAACTGCAGCAAGACTGCGGCATCTTGTTGTGTGTTTAGTCGTGCCTTCTTGTTGCAAAGTCCCCTTCCCTAATACGAAATATGTCTCCATCGCCCCTTTCCCTTTAACTTCAATAAGCCCTCTTTTTTGAGTTTGATATCCTCTTGCTTCCAAAAACTATTCAAATATAAATTAAATAGACATTTTATATGCATAACAAATATTGAGATGGATAATATATGATGTACAATTACCCTAGCAATATCTTGTGGAACTTGTATTTTCCCCATAACGCCTGTAGAGTCCATACGGGAAGCTAAGTTTACCGTATTACCCCAAATATCGAATACAGGCTTTCGAGCACCAATTACACCGCCTACCAATGGACCACAGCTAATACCTACTCTTAAGTCAAAATTATTGAATGAATGTATATTCACATCTTCAAGACGAAGTCGCATGGCTACTGCATAATCCACTAATCTACACAAATGCTCCATATCATCTTTGTTCTTGTCCTGAAATAAAATGATTAAAAATATGATAAAATTAGATAATTTCTCGAAAGAAAGGAATAACTAATAACTATACTTCGCAAAATATAAACAGAAATCATGTACAAATACATTTTGACAAGGATTGAGACCAGAAGCTGCCATATAAGTTGCCCCGACTGTTTTTATCTTTTCAATACAGTGAAACCGATTCTCATCCAAAAGTTCATCGAAATCAGCTACAGAAAAATGACTTAAATTTAGATTTATTATTAATATACTATCATATTATATCATAACTAAATTTTTTTATCTTAAGTACATGTACATTACCAATGATTTCATTCAATAAGCGTATACATTCCATTCCTTTGTTCACGTCTTCTGAATAGAATTCTGTGAAATTTGGCACACTAGCAAACATCACTCCCACTTTATCACGTGATTGAGAATATAACTCCTTTAAAATATTGAGAAAAAGAAATTGTAATATTTATCATATGTAATAATAAATAAGAAATATAAGTTATAATACCTCCGGTGCTCTTTCCTGTGTTAAAAAATGGTGAGCTACATGATCCGGTAAAATGTTCTTCAATAGCTGCATGTTATTATGTCGTGATTCAATCATGTCACTTAGTTCCCTTTCAGCCTGCTGTTTCCAAAGGAAATCTAATCTGGATGTTACTTCTACTAATCTACCATGGTATGTAACCATGACCAAAAATACTAACAGAAATGTGAGCATTTGTGCAGAAAGAGGTATCGACGTTCTAAAAACGCAGAAGCATAATTACTACCATTATGTTTCTAAAAATTACGAGATTAATTAAATTTCATGGACGTTAAACGTCAAACGCGACTCACGAATCTTTCTCTTCGTCGGGAATCGAAAAAAAGTCCTTGCAGACTACAAGAATCAATACGGCGTAAACGGACACGATGATCGTAGCCAGAGCCGTTTTCACTAAATAATACAATTTCAATGCAGAGGCTAACGCAATCAGGCATAATATCCACGTGAACACAATGTATTCTGGTCGTACACAGGTAGTCTCCGAAATGAGGTCCTCGTCATAATCCAAAGAATATAGTGGTTCCGCTCGAAGTTCCGTTGCAGGTGTCGACAATATTTTCCTTGAGACGATGTCTTCATCCCTACGGTTACGAGCAAATCTTCTGTAATGTCTTCCAAATACGAGTTTGTGACGTTGTTCATATCTGTAAAACCTGAAGAACTCTTTTCTTCTTCGACCGTTCGCCAGATTAGCCCTGTCATGGATGATCCTTGTCAATTCCACATCTATATTATTGGAACTATGCGACGCAGTTCGATTTTCTTTAGCAGAAACATCTCTCTGCTCTTCTGAAGCCTCATCGCGAAGGGCAGCTTCGAGGAATGTCAAAATAAACTGATCAAGACCAACTGTCGGTGCTACTAGTCGCTCTGGCTGCAATGTTGGATTCATTAATGGCTGCTGCTGAAGTTCCAAAGCTTCAGGATATCGTCGAATCGACATTGGACACGCTAAAACACCGACGATCGATGTCAATGCCATCAGACTAATCACGCTGCATATGAAGATTGTTCGATGCTGTTTGTTGTGAACCAACATTGACGAAGCATGTTGCAAATATGTTGGCAAAGTTTTGAACTCCTCCGCCATCACCAAAATGGATGATGCTACCAAAATGAGCGTTGTGGACAACAACGAAATCAGAAGAATTATACAACTGGAAAAATATAAATCCAAATTTATACACTGTCAATCATTCAAGTAAATCCGCTATAATTAATAATATTTCATTTCGTGTATTTCATTTTAAGAGATTCTGCTCCGCTATGCACTTAAATAAGTACTGAATTTTATTAAAAAATTTCTTGTTATTATTGATTATAACAAAAACGAAAATTTAATCTATTTGATTAACAATCGTATAAAACGATATTAGAACAAAACTTATACTACCTACTCTGGAAATATCACTGCTTGACAAATTGCAATGAATATCCATACGACAAAGCAGCAAATCATGTTGGATTTAAACATGTCCTCGCGCAATTGACCAAACTATAAACGAGTAAAAAGATATTTGTATTATCAAATTCACTAAAATTTAATTTGAACTAAAAGTATTCAATGCAACACCTTTGATTCTAGGCTTTCGTCATTGTAACGCAAAGTCCAAGCATTTATGTTCGCCAACCTCATGCGCTTGTTACTTGCAGTTTCAAGACCTGCGGCCTTCAACTTCTCAGCAGATGTCGGAGATGCAGCTTTATTACCCTTCGCGGAACCATTCTCTTCTTCAAGGTATTCCGACTCCAAATTGCTGACCGACGTTGCAGTGTTTAACTATACAAATAACACATCATTGAATTCCCACGATTTTCTTGTCTGAAGTTCTAAATTGTTAAATACAAACATTTTCGAAAGGTATTTCTGGTGTCCAGTCTACGCCAATATCATCATCCGTAGAAGAATTTGGAGCACTGCTATTTGCAGCCAACGGATTGTTTAATTTGAAGCTCTTTTTACTTTTATTCGTATCGTCCTCGGACCATATCTTAGGTCGTGAAGAATACCGGCGTCTGGACCTTAAAGGTTCAACTTGCTTTATCAGATACGTCACCACGTTCCTCTCCTTTAAGTAATTGTCCCTTTCAGTTCCGTTTCCTGGCTCTACCTCATATACGTCATTCAAACAATTCAAAGTGTCCTCCGAAATATGTACCCTCCTGAAATGTTAATAAATATTGATCAATTTTTAATTCCAATTGACAAATTCTTTTTTCTTTTATACTACGCAATTCTAATGAGGTTTCTGCTAAACATATTAAAAATATAGTACACGAGAAACGGTAAATTTTACCCTGGTATGCCTCCACTTTCGAGATGATTAGCCAGGGTTACATCATAAGACCAGACGTCGAATTGCCATTTTCGAAGTCCGAGTACTCCACACAATACCGAGCCACTATGAATTCCTATTCTCATGTTCAGATCAACCTAAATAAAACCGACTTTTCCTATATTATATATTTAACATGAAATCGTTTTAAGTACATTTTGTTTTATTAAATATCACTAGACTGCAGAACTCAGTAGTAAACCTCATGCTGTGGAAATTTCTAATTAATATATTACAGCCTATAATCAATTCTAAAGGGAACAATTATTCCTTCTTGAACTAGCAACTTACTGCAAATTTTCAATTTGACAGAAGGCTACTATAAGCGAATTTCTTATTTACCCTCTATAACACCAAGTGACTTGGAAGCTACATTCTTATTTGTTTATGTCTTTTAAATTTTGTTCTGTGTCCTTTGGTACATCTGTTAAGTTCGTTCTAACAGACGTACGTGTATCTTTTCTAGTAGTGTCACTGTCCTTTTTTGGATTATTCAAGACGGTGATAACTACCAGACTTGGCTGACAAACTTAGCTGCCAATGTTCAATGCATATTGTTTCCTACTCTTAGGAAACTCTGAATTTATGACACTCTCCTAAGCCATTCAGAGTGGCAAACGACGAAGTTATACAGAGTTAAATGACTAAACCTGGCGTCCAGACATGAAGTATCCCAGATGTAACCCTCAAGAAACCACTTTCACTTAAAAGTGGCTAAGATTCCCAACCGTGTCATAAATTATGTTAGCCATGTGCGTTAAGAACACCATTATAACAGAACCAAATGACCATTCTATATATAGAAGATTAAACAATACAATCTTTTTTCTTTTTTTTCATTTTATCAATATTCATTGATAAACTAAAGATACAGAAACAAAGTTTAAGATACGCAGTAAGATTAAACTTACAAACTTATATTTTTAATAATCGTGAAATAACAAAAAATTTAGTTACCTTTGTCGTGTATCGTACATCCCTTATTGCTTTAATCATGTGCAAGCCCATTTCAACGCAACAATGGGCATGATCGCTTCTGGCAGTCGGTAATCCAGATACGCAATAATAACAGTCTCCGAGTAATTTTATACGCAAACAATGATTTTCCGCGGAGAGTTTGTCGAAACGAGCGAACAAGTCATTTAAGACTTTGACGAGCTCTTGGGCGCTACACTGACTGGCTAAAGCTTTGTGATAAAAATTAATATCATAGATTAAATGGTTAAACTGGAATATATAAAAAAGTACTTCAAAGTGCAATATTTAAAATATTTTAGTAACAAAAATTAATATAAAACATGAAACCAAAATGATAATTAATATCTTCCAAGTAAACTATACTCTTTAACCCTTATGTCAATATCATCAATGTTGTTCTATGTATGGAATATCTGAAGATCCTCCTGACGAGCCCTACTGTATGTTATTGTTACTTCATGTTTAAAATGTAAAATACTAGCATGTAAAAGCTTATACAAAATGTAAATATTGAATAACAAAAATTGTTATCATATAAATAACCATTTTTGTTTATCTTATATTAAAATATTATTCTTATTTGATTGTCTCGCTAATTTGATTGATTATTGAATAAATGTAACTATAGTCTATTTTATTCTTCAATTTTTATAATTTTTTTATAACAAAATTCGAAACTTGAAGTAAATATCGATGGAAAATGTATTAAGTAATGATTATCTGACCGAATATTAAAATCTTTTGCCAGAAAGGTATTAATATAAGAGTTAAAGGCAAAATTTATGTTAGTACAATCCAAAGTTTGTTCTTCTTGGCACCTTCAAAACAATAAGAGAAATATGAAAAATGTTAATACATAGAAATTACGTAAATAATTACAAACCATAGAAGACAACGAATTAATATTAATACAGAAAGTAATATAGACTTTCGTAAACAATCGCTTCATTTCATCGCAAAAAATAAATTTAATTTTAGGTATCTAAAAATAAAAATAGTTACTCACTTTCACTGTACTTTTTGTATCGTACAACAGTAAATATTACGCAAAAATAATTCTCAAATAAGGATACAAACGATTAACAAGAATGTCAATGTTGCAATTCGAGAAATTAGAAAATTAATAGAATTTCATTAGCGTAAATAACTAATTACGTACCAGTGAAACCTTTGATGTCAGCAAAAAGTATGCTGACATTTTCATAGCGATGGATGTATATTCTGTGAAATTGATTAGGTGTAAAGGAGATGGTCCCACCTCGAGCAGTTTCACGAGCGATATCGCGGATCATTTCTTTAGCCACAAAATCTGGTAAAACTACAAAAAAATTCATCAATCATGAAACTCCATAACATATTAAGTACCATATTTTTATTACACAAAGGGAAATCGCTATAATCGAAATGAAATATTAATTGATTAATCGTAGAATGCCTTCCCATTGTCCAAAGGTTAATGCAATTATTCAATTTGTTTTATTCCATTGTATTTTACTTGTACTTCCTAAACAAATCGTCTAAAAATCGATAATACGTAAAAGCAAAGTACTGCTAGGCTATCGGTAAAACATATCTGGCGCAATCGGGTGAAAGTGTCTAGTGACCCTTTTTGACACTCGGCTGAGCAAGTTACACGCGCTGACGAACCCCATGCTTGCGGCGCAACCCCATGCATTTTTATAGACTACGTTCGACATGTTCGACATATATATAAATATAGTTAAATACGTGTCGGACATATTTACATCAATACGTAATTACACAGTCCATGTACGTTTATAAAACATATACACACTCTCTAATACTGTCTCCAGACAAGTTGCGTGAACAATTGTAAAGTAAATTCTATTTAATACTGTTTTTCTAACAAAACATTATTCTAATTCCGCTTAATATAATAATACTCCTGTAAACGAATAAATTCATTCACATCTCAATTCTTTATTTCTATATTTCAAACCAACTACGGTAATTATTCTAGAAAATTAAAAAAAGAAAATTAAATTTAATTTTTGTACACGATTAAAAAATAAATGTATTCTAAAATGAAAATAAAATGCTAAAAATCGTTGACGGGGATCATTTCAATGAGAAATTTAAAGCATATCTCACCGGAAAGCAGCAACTTCTCTTGTCGGTTATTCTCATTTTGAGTACGCTGCCGAGTTTCCATGGACCTGTGAGTCTCCAGAAAAGCCTGTCTCTGTCCTCTGTCTGTCAAATATTTAGTGTACATGCCAGCTAGATTCATTGCAAGATAAAGAAGGACGTTGGTTGTTAGCATTCGAACTATGCACGTGACATCATGCAGCTGCAATTGCAAAATTAAACGTACTTTAACGAAAAGAAAGCTGCGAATCGCAAAGCGTACATGGGATTGCACTAAAAAAAGTTCACAAAAAAGTATCGTGATGGAATAGGTGCGTTAAATTGTAACCGAAAATGTAGACCAAGGGTTCTTACATATGTGGAATCTCGTAATAAAGTTATTCCAGCCATCACCATGTGAGTTAAAGCTGTCCCATAACCGGCAAGGACACACCATCTCAAAGGCAACGGCAGCATGGCATACGGCGCATACACGACAAACAAAATGTACCACATAAGACGTTGTTGACTAGAGAAATCTAGACCGGCTCCTATAAAACCTGCAATTGACAGGGATCGTGCACATAACGTAAAAACATTTTCGACTGATATCTCATTCGTTGAGACATAATGATCGTTTCGTTAATCTTAAATAGCGGCAGAGGATCGCCGATCAATAGTAACCCATGCCTAGATATAAGTTTGTTCTACCGCGTCTCTCTCTCTCTCTCTCTCTCTACGGTTCGCTGAACATTCAAGCAATTCGCTGGACCGCCAACGCACGAGCCAGTGGAGCAAAACTCTATTCGGTAAACGACGATACAATCTTCCCAAGAGCACGTATATGTATCTGTATCTATATACGCGCGCGCGCGCGCGTGTGTGTGTGTGTGTGTGTGTGTGCGTGCGCGCGCGCGTGTGTGTGTGCGTGCGCGCGCGCGTGTGTGTATTAGAACATTGCGATACAGAACTATACGTACGCCGACTTTTATGTCCAACTATGAAAAGAGCTGGTCGCTCAAAAAAATGCAAATGTAGAAGTAATTGTTACGCGTAATGTATATCTCTTTGCATCATCACCTTGCGAATTGATCAGTAACCAAGTGAATATGGAAGCCCAGTATAAGTAATTATTGGAGAAACATCGCCACCAGCCAAGAACACACACCACTAGGTTTGCCACCATACAGCAGGATACCCAAGACAGGGACTCGATCAGACCTCCGCTGTTTTCATCCCTTTTCCACAGCCATATTGCCATAAGAATAATCTGACAATGTACCGGTGCATTATATGAAACACGAATCGAAGAATAAAATACAGAATATACATCGTAGGCACTAAATTGATGATTATTTGCGGGTCAGTTTACCTTTAAACTAAGGTCAACGATATTCAGCATGATCAATGATTTCTGTCGTTGACGATTCGAGTAATGAAGATACGACGTTTCGAGCTGCTTGCTGTGGAAGCTATTCGAAAGCGACGGACAAAATATACCCTTATAGAGTACGCCTTTCTTGAAAACATCTGAAAATATCCAGTAATATTTATAGCTGAAGGTTGTACGCATAAAATAAATTAATAATATAGCGGTATGTTGAATAATTTGCTGGATGAACGTGACATGGGGATAATTTAACAAGGATGATGCTACGGGTTGTATCATTAGCTATAATCGAACCTCGTTGCGCTTGTGATTCAGCATCGACAGGCTGTTCGGCAAGAACCACGTCCGGGTCGGTAGGAATGTCTGCATCGTCGGCTGGATCGGTTGTTTCATTGATGTCTGGAACTTCCGGATCGTTGTTGGATTTCCGGTCCTCCCATGCCGCCAATCCTTCCCGCCCCAGCCTCTCGGAAGTTAATTTCTTCACAGCCTTGATCCATAATTGTTTCCTCGGGGAAATACTCAACCTATCGACGTAAAAAAGTATTTCGAATTAATAGTATGGGATAAGTAATACACGCAAGAACATCTAGAACATTTAAGAGATTGGTATACACGAATACATACTAAATGCACATTGAGTATGTATACATCTTTGTACATTGCATAAAGCAATTGAAGGATGGTATACTGTTTCCATTAACGATTTTGGAGGATAGAAAACACATACTTTTATGAAAATCTTTAACTTGAAACTTTTGACATATTTCTTAAGAGCATTCGTTAAAATACATAACAATTTATAACTTGAAAATGAATTGACAATGACTGATAAAGAGCAACGAGTGAAAAATAATTTCCCAAATTTAATGGAATTAATATTTGCAAATTCATTTAGTCTATATCTTACTTGGATATAAATGGCATAAAAAATACCCTATTTCCATATTTCATAAATTTAACAATTACTATAAAATAAATATGCTAAAATTTAGATAGCGTACAAAACATTGGATAATTTGCTGAACGTACACGATCCCCTAATTATTTTAAGCCATGTATAAACAAAGTAGTTGCAAAACATTTATGCAGGTCACGATAAGTAGGTAAACAACATTCGTTGTTAAAAAGTTTTCAATATGACCATCAATATCATATTCGACACTTTTACGTTATATAAATATCACTTGTCTTTGTATTAATATCTGTCTTTTTTATGTGCAAGCAATTTTTCTAGAAATCAGTATTTCATAAACTTTTTGCCAAATACAAAGTAAAAACTGAATTAAATAATTTTACACCTTTCTCACGTAACATTTTGCATTTTGCACGTAACAGTTGCAAACTTTTAATTATATTCATCTAAAGTGCAGCTAAATTCTTCAGATATCCTCATTGCATTATAAATAATGGATCCTTTTGCATGCATCTCCAATTTGAAAAAGAAATAAAAAAAGAAATACACAGAATAAATAATGAACAAATTTCGCTAATTTTATTTGTTGAAAACTTCCTAAAAAATTAAAAATAATTATTTTAACATTAATTAGTCAAAAGTGGTATTATAATCAATTAAGTAATATCAAATAATATAATCTTTACCTTATAAGGAAAAAAAATAAAACCTTTGATCTTTGTGAAACATTTTGTATATGAATTGCAAAGCTTCCGTAGAACAAATTGATTTATGATGAAATTAAAAATAATCTGAAATTTCAATAAAATAACAAAAATATTGAATTTTTTAAAATATACGTTAAACGTATTCTCTTTCTTTTTTGTTTTTCTTTTTTTTTTGTGTGTGTGTATGTTTAGATAGCAACAGAAAAGTCGGAAGAAACTTAGATCTTGATACAACGATTCTATGTAAACAATATCCAGACTAACATTCACACGACGCCGAACGTCTTGCAACTCGTAAAATAGTGTTCCGGCAAAGTACATATAGACGATACATCATAATTAGTGCACACATATTTTTAAATGCGTAGCACTATCGATCCAGACACAGTTCTTGCACGTACACCGTGATCCATCATCGCAGGTATCATTAAAAACCACCGTATACAAACGACAAAAACAAAAAAGTAAAAAAGAAAAAAAGTAACATCGTGTCCTCGTGAATAGTATCAAGTGTACGTGTAAAAGCACGACGAAAGGTGTGTGACACTATTTGGAAAAAACACAAAAATCTCGTCGATACACCTGCAAAACGTAAAACTTACCGAACAGTGTTATTGTGTTAATGATGTGTCGCATTAAACAAAGAAACAATTGAAAATCTTCCTTGCGAGGTACGTACGTACCGAGCATTATTTTTTATCGCGTATAAGAGGAAGAAAACGCAAGTAGTAAAAGTGAATACTTACTCATTGATGCCCGCGACATCACTGTCCAGCATCATGCTCCAGGTCTGTTCTGTAATCATTATCCCCCGGATGATCCGCGAAACGAACAACCGCTCACGTTGTGATTGTCAGCTGTGCAATTGCCTTAGTATCCGGCATTTTCACACACCTTAAACCAGAACTTGTTAAGAAAGAAAGCCAATTTCTCTAATGTCCCACCCAGCGTGGTTCAAAGTCTTTTACCAGACCAAAGAACAATTTTATCGAATCGAGAACACTTATCAGAAGCGTTTATCTGTGCTTTGCTTGTCGGTTTGCTTGCTAATCAAAGCGCCGGTACGAAATATTTTAGCGTCGCAATTTTTCTTTTCGTACGTTTGAATTAGCCAGCACGGCAGTGCCGACGAATCTCCGGTAGAGAAGCCGGAAACAAAGGATACTCTTCGACACGAGTATACGATAATAATTTCGTTTTTCTATTAGTACAGTTTTATTTTCATTGCCTGTATTGTTTATCTTAATTGAGTATCGTGTACAGTGTGTAACAGTCAACTGTTCTCCCTTCTATTTCGCTATATTGTATGTTACCGCTTTAATTCATAAACTGGATAAGTTATTAGTATTAAAATTCGCCAGAAGTATGTATATAAACATATTATACTACAGTAAATCTCCTATATAACTGCCTCGTATAATGTACGAATGATCAAATATATTTTTATACTTAAATATTAATAAATAAGTATAAGAGAAATTAAAAAATTAGCAAACTATACTTTCGAATAAATTCATCATTAATGATATTAAATTTGAAAACGCTCATTGTAGATAAAAACGACGAAATGTTTCAACCATGGATAAAACATTCATGGATAACAACGAGATTTATGTTAAAAGCGATTAAGAAGGGAGAACGCTGAAATTGCAAAAAAATGGAATAATTTCAATGAAAGAAATCTTTGAGTTTTGTTTTTACGTTACCTGTCGTCTACAGTTGATAAGAATAAGCAAGCAATTCCGTGCAATCGCTTCGTTCCACCATCAAGACTGCCGACCGCGGACAAAAATGGTGATAGATGTTGAAAATCGCGAGGGGGCATCCGCCAACGATAAAAACCGCGCTTCTATGAGCGAATCGGTTACCGAGTCGGTACCTGATCTTCAAACGAGTGAATATAACGTGAGCTTGTTACCGCGTGATGGCTCTCTTGACGTCAGATACCTTGCTTCATCCCCCCTAGTATGCAACGAAAAAGAAGGGATGTTTAAGAAAAAGTAGAAAATAATTGTAAATTACATGTAATTGTATTTTTAAAGGAAATATCGCGATTAGTTTTGCAAATTGGTATGTGAAATCGTATATGCATCAAAGTACTGCTTGTGGAATTGGTGTTAGTATTAACGGTTTATGTACATAGGTCTTTCATGTAATAGGTTAATTAAAAGGTTTAGAAAGATTAAAAATGATATTTAACCACTGATTTTTATTGATCTTGTTTTTATTATAACAATTTGGATAGAATTAAACACTTTGTTCTTATGTTATAGTAGCTTACAAAACGAAAATAGTAAATAAAGTATTGACATCATTTTAGAAGTGAAATTATAATCATATTATTTCTTAGCAATTAATGTTTATTCAACAACTAAATTTGAACAAATTTTTTACTTCATATGAATAAACATCAAAAAATGATTATGGCAACAATACACATTTTCATGATGTTAATAAATACAATTATTAATTATGTAGAATTCATTATATTTTGACAATTTATAGAACACTCTTATTGGTAAATATAGTATTATTATATCTTTTGAGTAATAGATATGAAAGTAGTTAATTAGTAAATAACATGTAGCATGTAGAAAACTAAAATAAAACTTGACAAAAACTTCTTCTAAATTAATTTATTACTATAAATAAAACAAATTAAGAACACTAGTGATGTCTTATATTACAAAAATTACGAAAATTAATCTTCGTAAATCATAGACATATGATGAATATAATGTTCGATTATTACTAGCATAACGCTTACACTTTCTAATGCACACGATTTACAATACAAATGTAAATACAATAAAAACTAAATTACACAAAGCAATATGTAAGAAGGCGTCAAATAATTAATATTTTTTAAGCTTTTTAATGTAATATTTTTTTAATTGTAACTTTAATATCTAAAAAATTATATTTTTAGTTCATTGTTTGTAATTAGATAATAATAATAATCTTAGAAATAAAAATTTTATAAACAAAAAGAAGTATATATATATAATTATACTATTTATAAAAATAGTAAAATAAATAATTAATAATTATAGATAATAAATAATAAATAAATAATAACTATTTACTTCTTTAACTTCTGTTTTTATTGAAAAATTGTATTAATATTTAATTATCTAATTTATTCTAAAATTTAATTTACAAAGTTAATACACATATACATATTTAGCATTGAACAAATATTATCTATTTTTTAGTTTTAATACTATTAATATTATTTTTAGTTGTAAAATTATTATATCTTTTTAATCGTTAAATATTTCCAGAAATATATATCACAGATTGGTATAGTTTTAAAGGAAATTTATTTCAAATAACAATTCTTCTATTTATGGAAAATTAGTATTTATTGGCACCTTTTATCAAGTTATTAATATCAAAAATAATATTTTACCGCAACGTAACATTAAGTTATAGTATTATGTCTTACTAATTTTACAAAACAAAAATATTTCTCATAAAAAGCAACATAATTCGCAAATATCATATATATATATATAATATCATACTCTTCTAGAATATCGCATATATTCTCAATTTAAATGAAATACTGAAATAAATAAAATATTATCTAAGGTAAAATCATAAATAAATCCATACTACAAACTCTATGAAATGAATGTTACCATCTCATGTTAACCAAAAACAACGTGAAATAACATTAACACCTTAAATTAGGAGTAACAATATTGCATGTTATAATAGAAAGAAAGGTGACATAAAATAACAAAATGTTTGTCACATACAGAGTAAAAAAATTGTAATTATTCAAAACTAATAGGTTTTCGTTCGATATCTTAATATGATTTATTAATAAGGAAAATTAAAAAATAATAAATTTATACCAGTATATTAAAAGGCTAAAAGTGGAATGCTGTCAATTTTTGCCAAAATATTTCTGTTGTCTTTTATATGCCACAGCCAACTTTTATGTAACTACACTGTTTGTTAACATATAATAAAAATTAAATAAAAAGAAAATATATAACTAAGAATCTTAAAAAAATAAAGTGTGTTAACAAATATATATTGAAAAAGTATGTGCGCAACTAGTCTTTACAACATATGAAAAAATTATTATGAACTTATATATATATATAATATATAATATATATATATATATATATATAGTATTCTCAGAGGTTGGATCAATAAATTACTTTAAAAAAAAAAGGAAATAATAGCCTTTGAGAAATATTGTAAATATAAACATATGTAATATGTATATACATACACAAATTTTTTTGATATATGTGTATACATTTATATATTTTTCACTATTTTCGTTACTTCTATTTTCGAACAGTGGCTTGTAAATACTACCAAATAAAAATATTATTTTTATATACAAACAACTATGTTCTTGGGCATAAAACAGTAAAACTGTACAAAGTTCATTTAGCATACATGTAGGAAACAATTATCTGTAGGTACATCTTCTGTACATACAACTTTCACCCAAGTATACATGCTTACTATGTATGTATGCATGTATGCATGCGCGCGCGCGCGCGTGTGTGTGTGTGTGCCAATTTAAGCAATGAATGTAGCCCGACCTTCTTCTACTAAAAGTCGATCAATGTAAATATCATTAGGTGTATTAACATCTATTAATTTTAAACCCAATATAGTATCAGCTGGTGAAAGTCCATCGGGCTTAGATTCAACGACTATCGATACAAAATTTTTATCCACAACCAATTCTTGAAACCTTAAACTATCTTCAACAGACCAGTCAACGTTAATCGGTTGTATGCCTATTTAAATTATTAAAAATTTTACGAAATAAAATATTTCTTACAACTTAAAAGCAAATTTAACAAGGAATAATTACATACCAGCAAGTCTTGCTTTAATAGCTTGATATGGTAATTCTAAGAATTGACTTTTCAAAGGTTGTAATTTATTTAATGGCAATACTGATACATCTCCGAAATCGCAAAAGTAGACACTAACCATGTTTTCCTTAATTATACTTGAAATGCACACCCTTAAAAATGATTGGTAAGAAATAAAAATTATTGACAAACATGTATATATATATACACATCAGATGTAAAATATGTATTTATACATCGCTTTTTATTTATACCTATACCAATGACTGTCAATATGTTGAGCTGCATAAAGTTTTCCCTCTTTTACTACATCTATAGTTGGGACTGGACCTTTATATGCTTGGCATGTTTCTTGTAACAGAATCATCATTGTCTAAACCATAAAGAAAAAGCAGATTAGGAATATATAATAATCATTACAATAAACATCATATAAGCAATATATGAATAATCGTAAAATGTAATATATTAATATATTATATGTATAGTAAAATATATAAAACACAATATTTACCTCTAACGAACGTTTATCATCAAATGGTTGAATAGTAAAATTTCCAGGGTGAGCTGCCATTGTTACATGAACATCAAAATATTCACCTATACCAGATATTTTTGGTGGTTTTAAGGACTTTAAAATATCATCTTCTTCATACCCTGTTGATTTAGAACTTATACGTTCTATACGTTTCCTTGGTTTTACATTATTATTGCCATCGCCATGCGTTCTGTAAATACAATAAAAACAATAATCACTATTTATTCTTTTATTTTTATTAACTAGTATTTATTAATTTGTGTACTATACTTTGTAAGCTCCTCTTCAAGAGCCAAAGTGTTATTAACAGAAACAAGCATATTACTTGGTTGAATTCTTTTAAATAGTTCTACAACTGGTGTTCCACTTGCAACTGATACAACTTTTACAATAAGTGGCTCTCCTTTTGGTGCAAGTTCTACAAGTTTTGCAACCATCTTTTCATTGAACATTGATTTATCAATGTTATGAAGATGTACCTTTAATGCCTATTATAAAAATATATACAAAAATAATAAAAATTTGGTTTAGTATGTATCTTTAACTTTGCATCAAATAGACCAATTATAATTTTACCTGAGCAGGATAATTTGCTAAAACTTGAGATAATATTTCCAAAGAAAGAAGGCTACTTTTTGTTGTATTGACTGTCTTACCAAAATCAATTAAAAATGCTCTTAATTGATTGTAATAGTTGTCACCTACAATTCTTCCTCTGTACCAATTATTATTTACCGATACAAAGTAGGTTTTATTAGGGTCAACTGTAGTTACAGCACAGCTTTCAATGTCTTCAGTGTTTAATCCAGTACATATTAGTCGATTTAATAAACTAACCAAAAATTTCATACTTTCAGACTGAACTTGTATGTACACGTCACCATTCTGTTCTATATGAGAAATAAATACTTCAGATACTTGCCCCTCCTGTGAATGATAGAAAACATTACGTTTTATATAAAATAATTAAAAAGATCATTTTAATTACATATTATTTAATAAAATTTGTATTAATAAAATGTAAACGAGTACTAACAACATCTAATTTAGGAGCAACCACTGTGTTTTGTGAAATTTGTTTAAATAATTCCAAATTTAAATTAATATCATCTGGTCCATGTGTATCATAAAACATAACTGTCGCAGAGAGTTCATTCTGATCCTTCTTACGATTTCGTACTTCAACGTATAAAGCACGATCGAGTAACAGTTTTTCAATCTGATTCACAATGCTGTCACAGTCACTAAAATCTTCCAAACCAGAAAGACGCAATCTCAATGCCTAATATATAATTTTTTTTAAATTGTTTACAAATGTTTTCAGTAGATAAAGTTTATATTCTAATATAAATAACATTATTATACCTGAGCAGGAAGCACACAGAATTTTTTATCTAGTATCTGTAATCTATTGTGATGGAAAGTATCTTCATCACCATGATCAATAAATGAAACTGTAACCATACCATTTGTAACATTATAATCCACGCAACGAACTCTGTGCCATGATTCATCTTCAAACACAGCATAATAATTTCCAGTTTCAATAGCCTGTGATTTCACAGGTTGTTGAATTTTACTGTAATATTGACTCATTTCGGTAGCCATAATATCAAATTGCTCCTATGCATAAATCAAGTATATATATATATATATAATATATACATATACATACACACGCACATATATACCAGTCACAAAAATAAAAGTTATATATAGAAATGTTGTTTTCATCTTACACTGTATGCATCTCCTACGATTCTAGCCCAAATTTCAATTGTACTTATAACACATGTAACAGATACAATCCAAAAATCTTCTTCTGGTAATTGCAATTGTCCAGGTGCTGCAGGACCAATTGGATTTAATTGTACTCTATCCGTTTTTGGTGTTATATTTTTTATCTGAAAAAGTATATATCAGATAATAATTTTGACCTTCTTATATACATATACAACTAGTGTGTTATGTGAGCGTTCTCAAGCGCACAGTTCTTGTCGTACCCAAGTTTTTTACTTATACCGGCAGATATTGGAGGCGAACATCCACGTCCAGCCAAACGGACAAGGTCCAACCGCATAGGGACCTCAAACCGCACTTGACTCATCGTCAGCCGTAAGAAGTTTTTCTCTTGGGTTACGATTTACCGCTTAACTGAATGGAATATTCATCATCCAAACAGTTGAGACTCGCCCGATATACACATATACAATGGTTAACGAAAGTATTCAAACACTATGATATACTCCTGCTATATAATATATACTATGTATATACTATATATACTTCACTTTAACGATCTATATTTCTGTGTTACGCCTTGTGTGAACCACAGAGAAACGCCACAATAGAACCAAAATATTTCGTAAAACATATTTTGCAATCAAAAATATCGTGAGATCTTTCATTACCGACTACTTTGTCTGGATAAACTTCTAAGTAGTAACCTACTCCAACTGTAATAAAACTCTGCTAACCTAAATAAAGAACTCAGTTGGTGTCTTACAACCATTTTTCGCGTCATAAAAATATACGAATACTTAATAAGTCCAAGTTAAAACTACTAAAATAGCAATTTTTTTAAACGTTAAGCATTATATTTAATATTTCCTTGATTTTACAACACATTTTAAGTATTTTAACATATTAAAAATTTTTTTCTTTTAAGAATGCACTCAAAATTGTATTTCAATTTTAAATAAATTTATTACTTTTCTCCAATATGTAACTTTTTTTCCCATTTAAAGGTCTCATTTTTTTAGTTAAGAATGAAATTAATACAACTGTATAGATAGCTTTGTTTAACAATTTAAATTTATAATGTATTCAAAGATTTTCACAAATTAAAAACGCATTTTCCATTGGTTTCTCTTATAGTATTCAGACAATTATTTTACATATATAATTATTTTACCTTTTCAGTGGAAGAAATGAACCGACGTAGAATAACTGAATTATCAACACCCTTTTCCAAAATAATTGCTGCACTCGTTTCAATAGCTTTTTCCCAATTTCCTGGTAATATTTCTTCATATTGTTGTTTATAATATATAGGAACTTGATGCATGAAAATACCATTTGGGTGAGCATCTATTATAGACAAAACTCGTCCTTTTATTATATTTTTATCCCTAGTTTCATTGAAACAAACAGATGACCCATATTTCTCAGTAAGGTCAAGCAAGGCAAATTTTGCAGCAATTTTTTGTGCTTCATCCTCAGAACGTGTTTCTTCTGGATAACTTGAATATCCATGAGGACCAATCTAAACATATATTTTTGATATCATTATTAATACTATTACTTTGTTTCAATAGCATATGTATACATTTTATATTATATTATACAACATAAAAATAAACATATTAACCTTAACTTGTGCAAACACAGCTGGTTCTTTAGTATTTTTAATTGTTGCAGGACAAATCTGATATATAGGTTCTGGAAGATTTAGTGTAATAGCCCTTTTCTTTAATTCATCTCTTGGATCAATAGATTGTGATTTTGGCACAATTTTCTTGGCATTGCCTAATAACGTCTACAATTATAATCTATTAGTACACAACAAATAATATTTTTTAACCACATACAAGCACAAATACTTACAGGTGGATTTATTATCGATTGTTGAAATTTTATTATGTTACCATCTACTAAAACTTGGCCAGGTGAAAGAGGTGACAATATTTCGGATTGATTAGGTGTTGAAATATTGGTGCGTAAATTCAGCAATGAAGGTATATTAGAATTTATTTTAAGTCTGTCACTTATACCTGAAATTTTCTTAGCAAGTATTTCACCATTATTATTGACAGTCTTTGGTTTTTGATTTATCACAGGTGTTATTGCCTTTAAATTGTTTTTTACTTGCGATTCGTCTCTAGGCTTATTAACACTTTGGTTTGTTGATAAAACAGAATTCATTTGTCTATCTTTCAGTCTCTAAAAATTAAAATAAATAAATTTTGTTTCTTCAATATTGCAATACATGATGATACTTACTTTACTAGGAGAACTTGGTGGCACACCAAAATTAGATTGTATGTATCTAGGTTTCTCATTATTTTGATGAATAGTAATTTTTGTTGACATTGCAGGAAAAGATATACTTTGCCTAAAAGAAATAAATTTTTAGAAGTATATTACATTCTATATCATAAATATTTTTAAGAATTGTATGTATGCTGATAAAATTTTAAAACTATAAAGCAAAATTTAATTTTTGTAAGTCAAAATTATTTTCTAGTATTTTCCATATATAAAACCAAAATATCTTTATATAACATTCACAACATATTATATTTTGCATTTTATATTTACCTTCCACTCATTTGTGGATATAAATTATCATTACCACCTTTTGTATTGCGAACATTCTTTTTAGTTGTCATGGGTTTACGAAATGGTGTTGGTTTTCGAGTATTAACCTAAAACATTTACCCAAGTGCATTATGAAATAAACAATATTTTGAATTACATTTTCCTTTGAAAAAATTGATGATAAGTTTTAATTTCTAAGATATTTACATAGAACTTTGCTGTTACTGCTACTACATTGAATTTTACCTACATGTATACATCTATTTATATAAACATATCATAGTGACTAATAATCATTATATATACATATATATCAGGCATATTCAACACATGTATCATTTATTACTTTTATTAAAATTAAAATGTTTTACCAGGATGAGAATATAATATCAAAAGTTAATAGTATCAATAGTTATTTACAAATATCTTAATAACAAAAACCAATCATACATTATATATAAAGGAAAAAATTGTTCAAAATATTAACTTCTAAAATATATTCAAAAATGTGTAAGATTCATGAATAGAACCTCTTTGACAACATTATTAAGAATAATATAAGTAAATAATAATTTTACCAGTTTTTTATAATTTCTAGACACTGTCTTTTGGCGTGCGATTAACTTGGTAATATGTGCAGATTCTTCGCTAGGTATAGCTTCCACTAAACACTCACTTCCTTTTTCACTAATTCTAACAGTAGATATAGTACGTAAAAAGGCAACCAAGGATTGATATCCTAATTTCCGAAATGGTATGTTTTCATCAATGAGCATCTTATAATCTCCTAGGAATGAGTTAATATAAATATCATAAATACATAGATATGAGATCATAATAACTAGATATAATTTACAATAATATAAATACTCAAAATAAACATCATATAAATCTAAATAAGTTATAATAGTAAAAAGGAATATTAACAATAAAAATCTCTTGAAAGAAACTTACTACTTAAATCTTCAATCTTTACACCACCTTTTGAAGATATAAGACATGCACGCACATTTTTTATCACTTCCTCTCTTTCCATTACTGCTTTTTGTATACTCAAAGATCTTTATGAATATATATTTATATATATTTATATATATTTATA